AGTGTGTGTGTGTGTGTGTGTGTGTGCGCAACGTGCTCTGTATGGAGGGCTTGGAACAGCATCTAGTGTAGCTGAGGAGGCCAATTTGAGAGTGACCGTCCCTTCCACACTGAAGACAAATACAATCTGTCCCCTGTCCAGCTCCCTGGTTTTGCTGCTTTCGGGACGGCCTCTTGGCCTCGGCCTGCTGGACAAGGGTCTCTTCAAATTGGGAGAGGCCGTGATGCAGTGCCTGCCTCCAGGCTGAACGCTCAGATGTCAGGGTTTCCCATCTGTTGAGGTCGATTCCTAAGGCCTTCAGATCTTGCTTGCAGATATCCTTGTATCGCAGCTGTGGTCTCCCTCTGGGGCGCTTTCCCTGCACTAATTCTCCATACAGGAGATCCTTTGGAATCCGACCATCAGCCATTCTCACGACGTGCCCAAGCCAACGTAGACGTCGCTGTTTCAGTAGTGTATTCATGCTGAAAATTCCAGCTCGTTCTCGGACTACTCTGTTTGGGACTTTGTCCTGCCAGGTGATACCAAAACTCCGTCGGAGGCAACGCATATGGAAGGTGTTCAGCTTCCTCTCCTGCCGTGCACAAAGGGTCTAGGACTCACTGCAGTACAGGAGTGTGCTCAGGACACAGGCTCTATGATTGAATAGTAAACCACTCATAGACTGCTTTAAGCACTATGGGGCGGTCTATAAGCAGTACACTTTGCTTGTGCTTTTGGGTCCCACTGGGGATGGGCACGAATGGCCAGTTCCGTGGTTCGGGCCAGTTTATTTACTAGCTAAACAAATGTTTGCCACGTCCCGGCCCCATGTCCTCCAGCCCCCCAGCTTCTTTGCCCTGCCCTCTGTGTGGGTGCCAGCCGGAGAGGGCAGGGCTGAGAATCTCCAGACACCTGCTTGATTGGTAAACAAACCGGTGGTTTGTCTCACACTGCCTTCTGCATAGAGACTGTCATGGACTTTGCAAGCGCTCTCCGTTTGAGGCACGGTGTTTTGCAAATCTCAGCCTACGGAGTTTCCATCACCTGATGACTAGTGAGTTAGGGATGTTTTGCCAAGTGGGAATTGACTTGCGGCAACCCTCATTAGGGCCTTCAAGGTGAGTGAGACATTCAAAGAGTGGTTTTACCAGTTCTACACTTCCCGTGAGCTTCCATGGTTGAGTGGGGATTTGAACCCTGTTCTCCAGAGTCCTGGCGCATCACTCTCACCATTAGACCATACCGGATACCTAACCTCATGACTAATCCTCTCCTTTCTTGTTGCTAACTCAACCAAGAGTGTTGTCCATCTTCAAGAAGGACATGTTTAATTTGGGATAAGCGTCCAGTTGGCTTCCAGGAAACGATAATAAGCCCATAAAACCGGTGACTGAAGAAAATAGAAGAAGCAGACAGAAACCTTTTCTTAAAAATGGGAGATGCTCAGAGGCATGCGATGAGGAGACTTGTAAAACCTGGAAGCTTAGGCCCAATAAAAACTGGCTAAGCTTTTAAAATGCTCAAAAACCTTTTGCTCTTCTTGCTACCGAGCTTAGGGGACAGCTTCAGGGGCCGGCCATGATAGATTGGGGGGTTTTCTGGGTCGGCGGGTGGGTCTCGCAGGCCATGGGGCCACTTCTTGCCACAAAAGGATGACACTTCAAATTTACAGCCTTCGCTTTTCCAGCCCAATTGAGTCCACCTTGCCAGTTGAATCTGCTCACCGTGGGCTTTGTGAGTAGTTTCAAATCATGGGCCATCGTGGTGTGGCGGTTAAAGCGCCAGACTCCAGAGATACGGGTTCTAATCCTGGCATGGCCGCAAAGCTCATTGGCTGGCACTGGATCAATCACACACACTCTGAGCCCGGCCTACCTCATAGGGGTTGTTCTGAGGACACAGGGCGGAGAAGAGGAACCATCCAGGCTGCCTCAAACTCCCTGGAGAAAGGCTAGGATAGAAAGGATCAGCAGCACGAGAAAACCAAAATTTGCTTCTAGATAGCTCGGGGGCTTAGGTCTATGGCTGGGGAGCCAGAAGTTGGGAGTTCGATTCCCCCACAGTGCTTCCTTGAGAGGGTCTCGACTCCATGATCGAGGGGGTCCCTTCCAGTTCTGCAGTTCAAAAGTTATTATTATAATAAAACATTTGACTGTTGCACATGTACTACCAGCTAAAGCAGTATTTCCCAGCCTGGGGGGGTCATGACTGGGGAGCTCTCAAATGTTTTTGGGGTTTGAGCATGTCACGGGTTGCCTTATAGGTGTTGCCGCTCTTGTTACCGTAATTTCTTCCCTGACCTTTCGGGGTGGGATATGATAGTTAGTGTGTGTGTGTAAGTCTGAGAGACAGGCCCTTTCGGGGGAGAAAGAAGCCTTTCTGAGAAGGGACAACTTGACCCCCATTTAAAAAAGGCCTTTTTATGCAAATGTGGTGTGAGAGTCGCAGGTTACTTGGCTATTATAAAAAGGGGCCCATGGCTTGAAAAAAGGTTGGGAACCTCGGAGCTAAAGAATAGGACCCTGTGTTTTGGTTCCCACTAGAGATGGGCACGATCCACCAGAAAAGGAAAACGATGGGGACCAAACCGTTAAGGATAAAACTGGATCTTTGAAAGGGTTTGGATTGACCGACCGAAGGCCTCTCCATCTTCAGGGAAACTGGAATTTTCTTATTCATGGCTGGAACCGGTGTTTATAAATCCTGCTTGTTTGGTTTATACAATAGCGTCCAACGCCTTGATTGTGATCAGAAACTCATCAAAGTCAGGTGATAGAACAGGGCTGAAATGGCACTCTTCAATAGGATCATACGGTTTCCCCCTCCTTTCGTTTCTCTGTTGGCTGAGAAACTCAGCCTAAGAAACGAAACTCGGAGTGGGGCATTTGCGTAGGAAGCCAAGCTGGAAAGAATTGCCTGATTTTGATCCGACACACCTCTTATTAGGCACAAGGCCAAACATAGGGGCGGGAGGGTGGAAGCGATGCAACAGGAGACAGTCATGTTGAAGAGAGAGAGGCTTTTGCTAAAGGCAAACAGAACAGCACTGCTATGTCTGAAGCTTTCAAAAAAAATTACAGTACCACCATGGTATCTACAGGGAATTGGTTTCAAGAGCCCTCCATGGATGCCAGAAAATGTGAATATGTCAAATGCTATACATTGCATAAGGGACGTGGTGGCACTGTGGGTTAAACCGCAGAAGCCTCTGGGCTGCAAGGTCGAAAGATCAGTAGTTCAAATCCATGCGGGGGAGTGAACTCCCGTTGCTTGTCCTAGCTCCTGCCAACCTAGCCGTTTAAAAGCATGTAAAAATGCGAGTAGATAAATAGGTACCACCTCGGTGGGAAGGTCACGGTGTTCCGTGTCTAGTTGTGCTGGCCACGTTATCATGGAAACGGTCTGCGGACAAACACTGGCTCTACGGCCTGGAAATGAGGAACTAATTAAGACCACTCTTTGGTTTGCAAACTTTTGATTTACACAAAATTCTACTTCAGGATGCACATTTTTGTTTTTAGGAGATTTCTTTTTCTTATTAGACGGTACGGTGTTCAGTCTTCACAGACAGAATGTTGTCCTTAACAGGAGGGCTGGGAACTTGGGCCTATCGTCCTCTTCAAACGCGTTTAAGCATTACCTCTGAGAAAGAATTCTGTGACACTCAAAAGCTTACATGCCACTTTGTGAACTTGGGACTGTTTCAACAAAGTGACCAGTTTACCATCCCTGTGTACAGTATTTTGTGCAAAAGGACCAAAAGAGATGTACTTATTACTGTACTTGATCGTAGCCATATTCACAGCTTGAGTTTGTGAAAGAGCCTTCTGAGAGTCGGACGCATAAAGATAACTTTTATTTCACTTTGTGTTTGCACAAATGTAATGCTTCTCGGCAGAAGCTATTTACAGATATCTTTGCAGAAGAAATATTATGCAGCCAGGGCTGTAAGTGATACCATAACTGGCACCGGTTGAGAAGTGGCACATGTTTAAATGAATGTGTTGATTTTCACCCTTTTTATGAGGATACTATCCCACTGCCTAGCTGGATTCTTCATGGATTGCTGACTTCTTCATGGATTGCTGACTTCTTCATGGATTGCTGCCTTGTCGTGGCGAAGGGGCTTGAGCTGGAGGCGGGAAGTGAAACTGGAAGGGAAAACAAAGGTCAAAGAGATTATGCCAGAAGGAAAACATCTAAGACTGTAGTTATTGTGAAAGTTCCCAGGAATTTGCAATCTTTCTGTTTCTATCGATCTTTGCCAACCTTTCTCGCTTTTAAATGAATGGCCGTGCTCTGTTTTCAATATAATATTGTTTATTGTTTAAAAATATTAATATACAGTACTTACTGTTTTCGGCTTTAAATATGGTCTTTTATAATGACGTAAGCCTCCTTGGGTCCTTTTAAGGAGAAAGGCGGGGTAAATAAATAAATGAAATTAAAATACCAAAATCAATATACCTTTTAACTCAATTTTTTTTAAAAGGGGAAGAAGAGGAAGCCAAATGAATTTTACTGTGGTGGGTAGTTCCCCAGCATTCCATACAGCGATGCTGTAAAAGACGGACCAATGTATTTATCCCTATACACTATTGTTCTACATATGTACGGTATACTGTATATGTATGTGATATTTTAAGCAGTACGCATAGATGAAATCCAGTTGTTACGACCACCTACCCTTGCTGAGCTAATGTGGCTATTCTCGGTCTTGTGATAACCATTGGCGTGAACGTCTTATGTCTACCCTTAGCAGCTCTGAATCATTTCAGTTTGTTAACTTTTGCCTCTGTTGTGTTCGTCCATTGCTGTGGCACCCAGCCCTACGAAATCAGAAAGAAAAACGGGTTTCTTTAACATGAACATTGAAACTCAGCATTCAAACAGTTCTTCCTCTGAGACCGTCTAATTCCCTTAGATTTTTTTCTATGCCTCTGTTGCAGGTGTGTGTTGCACAATGTCCTCTTAATGAGTGTATACTTACGTGTGTGTGTTTCTGTCCACATTTACAGTGTCTTCACTGGCGTGCTTCTATTGTGACAACGCGGAATCCAACTGGGGCTGTCTCAGTTCAAAGGTGTGCAGTGAAAACGACAAGTACTGCATCACAAAATATTTTGGTGGTGGCCTCGGTAAGTGTTGACTTGTTGGAATCATCCCTTTTATCTCCTTCCTCCGAAATTTCCCCAGAACCTTTGATAACGCTTTATCTGTCCTGACTCCATTCTATGGATTCCCCCCCCCCCCAATTTGCAGTTTGATGAAGCTTGTAGACATGCACGCCGTTATTCCGAATTTGCAATTTGATGAGGTGTCTTGCAAGGAAGCTCAGGTCCCTCACGAAACTAGCATTCCCAGGAGCGCCCAGAATGGAGTCATGGCAGATAACGGTGCTGCAGAGTTTTGAATTTCTGGTAGAATTCTCTTTTTGCGGCACAGTAGAAATACAGAGCGCCACAATGGAGAATAGCTATAAGTTCTCCCAGAGTCCACCCCTTTCTCATGAACTGTCACTTCAAGTCTCAGTAACTCACTCTGAGACATTTGTAGGAGAAAGAATAAAAATATTTCTTTACTTCCAGTTGAATCGCAAAACGGTGCCCGCGTAGGGAGAAAATCGCAGAGCAAAGGTCGGTAAGCGGTTCGCTTACCCACCTTCGCTTTGCGACCCGCCGATCAGCTGGTCCAAAATGGCCGCCGGAACAGCCAAAATGGCCGCACAGAGCGTTTTCGCACCCTCGGTAAACGAGGGGATTGCGCGAAAACACTGTGCGCGGCCATTTGGGCTGTTCCGGTGGCCATTTTGGACCTGCTGACCAGCTGATCCGCGGTCTTGCTGCGGCTGAAATGGCCGCGCACAGCGTTTTCGTGCCCTCCCCTCGCTTACCGAGGGCGCGAAAATGGCTGCCGGACCCAGAAAAGCATCGCTGTATGGTGAGTTTTTGACCATTTGGAATGCATTAAACGCTGTTTAATGCGTTCCAATGGCTTTTTTTGATCCGTACAGCGATGCTTTCACACAGCGAGGGTTAATCCGGAACGGATTAACCTCGCTGTGCGAGGCACCACTGTACAGAGCACCACAGTGGAGAATAGCTATAAGTCCACCCCTTTCTCATGAACTGCCAATTCAAGTCTCAGTAACTCACTCTGAGACATTTGTAGGAGAAAGAATAAAAACATTTCTTTACTTCCAGTTGATTGACGTTACAGACTTGTGTATACTGTTTTCTTGACTGTACGCCTACTAGCAAGCAACCGAACAGATCAACAGCAACAAACAGTCGCCACCAGCTAATGAAAGGAATAGAACACACAGTAGGGAGGTGACGCTCTCTTTGCATTTCAAAAGCGGGAAGGAATTATTGGCTAATGCTAGCTAGACAATCACCCCAGCCTGGAAACTAATCCTGCAAGGTTGTAAATAAAACTTCAGTAAACTGTGCAGTGCAGAAGCCCAACCACCTCTGCCTTCCTGTCTAAAATGGCTTCTTCTCCACTGTTTTTCTGCCCCATCGCAGAGATGTTAATGGGATGTATTCCCTGATAGGATTAAGATCGTTGAAGGGAAAAGGTTTTCAGGACGCACGTGGCTTCCTCCTTTTTGCCTTTCCATGCTGTGGGACCTAGTCAGCGTCTCACTTCTCAAATGTTCACACGGTAATGGCCGTGTGCTTCAGCTTGGAGTGAGTTGAAGAAACATCAGGATAAATGCCACAGCTGGAAAAGAAGCCAAGTCAACCATTAGTGGTGTTCTTTTATGAGAGCCAAAGATGGTAGTAAATAGATGCCGGTAGTCCCTCTGGTTGACTGGCCTTCTTTCTCCAAGTGGGGTTTCCTCAGAGGTAAGTGTTGGGGCTTTGGATCAAAAGTTGCTTTTTTTCCAACAATACATGACTTGGTAATAGGAATCACAAACTAAGCCCCAAGCTTACCTTTGGCTGACCAGTGAAATAAAGGGATGAAGTAAACAACATGTTACATGCGAAATACGGAGATGCAGAAAATGCACGCCAGGACATATTTCACCACTAGAGAAGCGTGCCTACTGGAAACAACACAAAGGTATCACCTACAAGGTGACACTCAGTTGGAAAGGTTCCTAACAGAGCCGAGGAACCGAAGGACAGCCAGCCGTTTCTTACAAGGCATGATAGCAACATCCATAACAAATCATGGTGTAGCCGTTAGGCAAGGGAGAAATATTTATTCCCAAGGTGAGAAAGTTTCACCTGCTGATTTCTGAACATCACGTGGTTGCTAAAATCACAAAAGAAAGCCAGACTGGTGGTTTTCCAGAACAACTGACAAATCTTTAACTTTGATAGTTAATCTTTCTTGCTGTTAGCTATTTTATTTCTTGTAAACTTTATTATTGGTTTTGTTGTTCCTATTGTGCTATTTTGATTTGTTCACCACCCAGAGTCAGCAGCCTTGGTATGAGATGGGTGCGACAGACAGAGAGACAGACAGACAGACAGATGGATGGATAGATAGATAGATAGATCTGAGCAGTGGGATCTATGAAAGAGTTGGGAATGGGTTTCCTTTCTTGCAACTGCATCCAGTCTGGGCACTGGAGAATTCTACCAGTTGTAGTCCTAAAGATACATTTTCAAAAGGATTGTTTAATCATACTACTGTATTCTTATGCAGTGAAATAAATAAAAGTAACAAAACTGTCATCCCTCTCTCCCTTCTTTTCTTCCTTTTTCTTTCAAATTTCTGTCCCTTCCTTCCTTCCTTCCTTCCTTCCTTATAAATAATTTGAGAATTTCAATAGAAAATTTCATTTTAGGATTTTTATATTGTATGTCGATTCCCAGTGTGATATACTAAAGGACAATAGAGTGAAGGACTAGGACCCTGAAGAATAGGGTTTGAATCCCCATTCAGACATGGAAACTCATAGGGTGAGTGGAACTTGTAAAACCGCTGCTTAAATATCTCACTTACCTTGAAAACCCCGTTAGGGTTGCTATAACTTGACAGCACAGAACATACACACATGGGCTGTGTAGGCATATATTAAGTATGGTCCTATTACATGTACTCTAAAAATTGATTCAGAATTTTTCTCAAATATGACAAAAAGCAGTCAATAATGGTATTAAGTGCAGACTGGTATGATGTGAATATAGAAATTTGATTTTTCTTTTTGCCTATCTTTTCCTTCACTTTCGCAGGCTGGTAAGATAAATCATTTTTTAATTCTATTTTATTTTATGAAACTGAGGAAGAGAAATAGTGACAGGCCTAACTCCATAGAATGATATAATAGGAGAAGTGTGACTTGATAATGTTACGAATTCTTTTTTTAAAAAATGCACTCAAATATCTTTAAAAATATAGACTCAGTTCAAAGAACTGGGAATAAAATGTCTAGAACCTCTGTTTTCACATGCTGGTGCGACATGACAGAGATATTTTTTCAAGGCAATAAAAAATATTTATTATTTGAAGACAGCTGAGATCCAGAGGAATTTCATTGTTTTTACAGTAATTTACCATTCCTTGCACTTTTAATACTTGAAAACGTGCACTAATACATATGGCCTATTCCTCAGTACTTTTTGGCTGTAAAATTGCAAAAAGTATCTAAAGGGCCCCCGTCAAACAAGTAAAGATAATTCCTTATCATTGTTTTAGGACAGATGCCACTGGTCAAGGCATTAACTGGAACAAATTTTCCCAACAACACAAAAATCTGAATTATGTTTATAAGCACTGGAAATTCCTTCCTTCCTTCCTTCCTTCCTTCCTTCCTTCCTTCCTTCCTTCCTTCCTTCCAGGTGAAAACCACAAGCAGTCCATCAGCAAAGGGTGCTCTCCCGTCTGCCCGCAAGGAGGCCTCGACCTTGGCGTGATGGCGTTCTCCGTGAAATGCTGCGAGACCAGCTTGTGCAACACGAGCGGGGCCATCAGCGTGAAGAGCAGCTCCCTCCTTCTGGCCGCGGGCGCCCTGGCCAGCTTGTTCTACATCCTGGGGGCCAAGCTGTGAAGGGGGGGGCTTCCTCACCCACGGACGGAAGTTCCCAGAGGAGGTCAACCTGTTTCCATGCCAAGGTGTCCGTCCCTTCAGAGGGAGTTCCCTGCATGCTTCCTCGGCCTTGTCTGTGCAACCGTGTCCACTAATAAATACCGATATTCCTTTTTACCTCTTGGCATGCCTCCGCTCTCTCCACCCCGTCCTGTAGCACTTTCTGATTCTGGGTCAAACTCCTTGTTCTTTCCCGGAACCTTCTCATGGGCTTGCACGTTTTATCACCTGTGCTTTAAAAGAGCCGCACAGGGATTGCTCATGAGTAATGTCAGCCATTTTTGCCTTCCCAAACGCCAAAAGAGAGCGACAGCCGGCTCTTTGATGGATGGAGACGAACCGGATCCTCTTGTCTCCATAAACAGAACCTCTGGTGAGAAAGCAGCCCAGCCTCTCAATAAGAGCAGTGTGCAGTTGGGGGGGCCTTTGCTTCCTTGTGAGTAAAGCAACTTGTGGGGACGTCCCCCTGGCTTGTTTTCATGCCAGCGAATCTACTCACACTTTCCGAGAACTAGCTTACAGATAAACTCCATAGTAACCCATAAACTAAGAGCTAGAGGGCTCTCCCCCCCCCTCAAATCTGAGCCCCTCCTAGCCCTCAGACTGAAACCTTCAAAAGCTTGCTGGGATTATGGGTCAGGATCCTATCCGAATCAATCTGGTTATTCTATGGATGTAAGGTGAGTCATTTTGGTGCTTGTGCAAGGACACTTCTTTGCACAAGCACCCCTTGTGTATAGTATAAGAGCAAGCCTCATGATGCAACGGGAGGCCTTCCATTATTGCACCGGCCAGGTGCTCCCAAGGAGATCCTGTCCATTTCCTTCCTGATTCCTGTCTAGGAGCACCACCTAGGAAGCTAGAGGGACTCTGACGGTGCAGGATTTGGTTTTCGTCCAGACTTTAAAAGCTGTTGTCTAAGATGCTGAACCTCGCTGGCAGTGGGGCTCAGCCACCGAGGCAAGCTCCTGTAAATGTCGGAAGAAGCCCAAAGAAGACTCGGTGTGGCAGAGAAATTGAAGTCACGGGCCGTCCGCTGGGGAGGCTTCACAAGCAAAGGGTTTACTTCCAAAAAGCTGGAATGGAAATTTTCCATTCTGCTCCAGGGCTGGGATATTCACAGTCGTTTGCCCTCCGTTGGAAGATATCTAAGGAGAATTGGCATTGCCGGATTCAGACTCCTGGAAGGAAATGTACGGTTGACTCCTATAAACTTAACACAGACAGCTAGATAGAAAGTTATCGACTCTTCTTTCTTTTTCTTTCTTTCTTTCTTTTTCTTTCTTTCTTTCTTTCTTTCTTTCTTTCTTTCTTTCTTTCTTTCTTTCTTTCTTTCTTTCTTTCTTTCTTTCTTTCTTTCTTTCTTTCAAGAAAAAAAAAGTATGATCCACTTCGGGGTCTTTTACGAAGCCATCTTGAGCACATTGACTCTGAAGACAGTCCCGGTGCTTTCACTGCAGAGTTTATCCCAAGATGGTCTTAAGAGAAGCTATTAAGCTGAACGAACCCATACCCAAACGATGGGAAGAGAAAGGATGACATGAATCGCGTTATTCAAACAGCTCACTGGAACGGACTGTCGTGGCTACCAGCTCTTGGCTCTCCACCATACCCAACTTAAAAATAATAATAATATTGCTCCAAAATCCCCTTGTACCCTCCATTGAATCTGCTATGGTTTGAGGGTCCTCCTTTGTACCCTCCATTGAATCTGGGGAACCATGTGCTATGGTTTGAGGGTCCCCTGGCACCCTTGAGTCCCCATATGCCCCATTTTTGAAGATCAGGAAAAACTTCTTAACTGCTACAGCGGTATGAGAACAGAACCCAGGACCTTGGGAGGTGATTAGCACTCCAACATTGGAGGCATTCAAGAAAAAATTGGGCCACCCTCTGTCAGATCTGCTTGGATTCGGATTCCTGCCCCAAGCAAGGGATTCGACTTGATGACCGTATAGACCCCTTCCAACTTCATTATTCTCTTATTCTTATTTTTAAATGTTGCCCATAGAGAGTGCAAGGTGTCTTTCTGTGGTTTTTTTAAAATCAGTTTTTAGAAGAAAACCTGAATCCCTTTTTTTTCAGTTAACAAAAACACATTGCATCAGATTTTTACCAAATGCACTCAAAAAAACCTCTTAAAAGGATGAAAAATTAAATTGCAAATTAAGGGTCTCAGCCACCCCTTTTTGCCCGTGGGTCTACTGAAATTGCTCGCTCCTGGGGATAAGAGTCTAAGACTGTCACGTTCACCCTGAGATACCCGCTTTGCTCCTCCATGAATTCAAAAAGGGCAGGAAGATATGGTCTTAAGAGAAGCTATTAAGCTGAACGAACCCATACCCAAACGATGGGAAGAGAAAGGATGACATGAATCGCGTTATTCAAACAGCTCACTGGAACGGACTGTCGTGGCTACCAGCTCTTGGCTCTCCACCATACCCAACTTAAAAATAATAATAATATTGCTCCAAAATCCCCTTGTACCCTCCATTGAATCTGCTATGGTTTGAGGGTCCCCTGGTACCCCTGAGTCCCCCATATGCCCCATTTTTGAAGATCAGGAAAAACTTCTTAACTGCTAGAGCGGTATGAGATCGGAACCCAGGACCTTGAGAGATGGAGACCACTCCAACGCTGGAGGCATTCAAGAAAAAATTGGGCCACCCTCTGTCAGATCTGCTTGGATTCAGATTCCTGCCTTGAGCAAGGGATTCGACTTGACGACTGTATAGACCCCTTCCAACTTCATTATTCTCTTATTCTTATTTTTAACTGTTGCCCATAGAGAGTGCAAGGTGTCTTTCTGTGGTTTTTTTAAAATCAGTTTTTAGAAGAAAACCTGAATCCCTTTTTTTTCAGTTAACAAAAACACATTGCATCAGATTTTTACCAAATGCACTCAAAAAAACCTCTTAAAAGGATGAAAAATTAAATTGCAAATTAAGGGTCTCAGCCACCCCTTTTTGCCCGTGGGTCTACTGAAATTGCTCCCTCCTAAGAGTCTAAGACTGTCACGTTCACCCTGAGATACCCGCTTTGCTCCTCCATGAATTCAAAAAGGGCAGGAAGATTGTCAGGAGGTATGAGAGCAATTTGCAGGAACGATAATGGGAAAGATGCCGAAGGAGCAGCTGGCGCATGTAAAATGAATGAAATAAAACTTGTTTTTCAGGTTTAATGTAGGGACAAATTAGCTCCTTATACCCTGGGATCTGATAACTGCTTATTATACTCCGGAAAGTTTCCCGTTTAGCCAGTATCAAAGACTATGCAACAATTATGCAGGGCGATTCTAGGATATAATTTCTGGAGCAAATAATCTCATTTATTCTTGTGCCTACCATGGTGCCATGCAGTTTTACTTTGTCTTCTTTGTAATTTCAGTTATTGATAAATAATATATAAATGCATACACAACAAAAAGGAGGGAAAGGCATGAATATATGACAATAAAAATGGGGTTTAACACTTAATGTTTTATAATATTTCTAATAAAGCATATGGATGTGCTATATAATGTACTGTACTTGGTTTTCCAAAATATATTAAATAAATTTCGTCTTCAAATTAAAAAAAGCTGTCCCACTGTCTACTTTCTCATGCTTTAATGCTGTTGGTTCTCTTGAGCATATAAAACATGTCCCAAATTCCGAGTCAAATGGTGCATTACAGACAGCATGTCCTTAGAAGCTGAAACTGTAATGTTCTAAAGATGTAATTCTGGCAGAACTCCATGCCTGAGCCATTGTATCTGCCAACAGGCCCATGTTTCTCTCTTGATGACCAATCGCAACAGAAGGAAAGCTAATTTGCAAACTCTATCAGCACTCAAGAAATTCCTTCTTTTAATGGCATGCTATCTATAAGGTAGAGTGACATGGTGGCACTGCAGGTTAAACTGCAGAAGCCTCTGGGCTGCAAGGTCGGAAGACCAGACGTCATAAGATCGAACCCATGCAGGGGAGTGAACTCCCGTCGCTTGTCCCGGCTCCTGCCAACGACCCTGAGATCTGATAACTGCTTATTATACTCGTTGTAAGATCGAACCCACGCAGGGGAGTGAACTCCCATCGCTTGTCCCGGCTCCTGCCAACCTAGCAGTTCGAAAGCATGTAAAAACACGAGTAGATAAATAGGGACCACCTCGGTGGGAAGGTCATGGCGTTCCGTGCGTAGTCGTGCTAGCCACGTGACCACAGAAATGGTCTTCGGACAAACGCTGGCTCTACGGCTTGGAAACGAGGATGAGCACCGTGCCCTAGAGTTGGACACGACTGGACCCAATGTCAAGGGGAACCTTTGTCTCTAAGGTATGATTTGATTGTCCCAGCCCATTCAATTAAAGGAGGATTAAGAATTTTCCATTGCAAAGAAGTACGGTAGTTAATCAAGCAGCATTCATTGAATGTGGTACCATTTCAACATCATTCTGTAAGCCTCCATTTTTAATGACACCACTCTAAACTGTCATGGTGCCAAGGATAAAGAATCATAGGATTTCTGAAAGGCCTAGAATTCTCTGCTGTAGTTCAGGAGCATCAAAGTGGTATTCAACTGTTGCACCTCTGTAGTGCGGATGTATTTGTGGGGGGTCTCCGTAATAGGATGGCTACCTATTCCTGTTTCAGAAGTCCAGCGGGAAGACCCTTGGGATTCCATAGGAAGTGGCAACTGGCAAATGGAGGAGTCCTTGAATGACTGAATACAGACAGCTAAACATTTTTACCCTGTTTTTCTCAGGGATGGGGAACTCAAGCTGCCAAGTTAGACTTAAGTTGCATCAGTGACTTGACGCAGAATCAACTTGGGTCCCCCCC